ACCATGCCTTTAAACTTTCAAGGAGATTTTGTCCAGCTGAAAGATCTACTAAATCTCATCTTGGGATATTTAGCAATGTTATAGCCACACCCGACTTGAGTCTTTACTCTGAAGTCAAGTTTTACCATAAGCCACCTGGATTTGGTCTTTTTTCCTCCCACTATAAGTTAACCATTCCTTTTGACTTGATCTTTGTCCCTATGCTATTATCTTAATTTGAGAATCTTTTTCTTGCTGGAGAGGCTGAAGATAAGAAACAGTTTTATTTTCTAACCCAGCAACTCTGAGCTCTTTCTATTCCCTCTTAGCTCTGCTTGCAAACTGGGCCTTTTTTTTTAATTTTTTTGTTTTTGAGTATATCTCTTTCTTAAAAGCAATCAGCTCATGCTATCAAATTTTTTCTTTGAAACCATTGTCCCCTCTCCCTATTCGCCCTTTCGTTTGATTATACTGCTCACTTCTTGGAGTGCCTGTACCATGCAATAAACCTATGGGTGGAAAAGGCCCAAGATGTAGATTTGAGGACATAAGAGACCCCACTTGTACCTTGTGACCTAATTTATCTGTCCAACCCCACTTTTCTAAAGCTCTATTAACAGACATCAAGAGCTGGCTTAGTACTCGGAATTTTTAAATTGTACTATGTCTAGATCTCCCCTGGGAACCCTGTAGGGAGAAGATGGATAGATGAGGATTTGGTATTTCCAGGATTTTCAAAATCTTACCTTTGTCCCTTAGAATAGCCACAGGTGCAAATTCCACTGGTCTGGAGTATCTGGAGCAGAACCCTACCATTCGTTATCCCCAATCCATGGTGGGCTCATGAGTCACCAGCTATTTACTATAGGCATTCGATGGTAGGATGGTGTGGCTCCAACAAAAGCACTACACAGATCACCTCAGGCTCATGAATACAAGGGCCCTCCAGAAACAGCACGCCACCATTATTGTCATTATGTGCACACAGACTCGAAGACCTATTTTACAAAGTTCACCATAGTACCTAGGTCTGTCAGTGGGTAGATTACTGTCTGTGCCCTAACATTCTCCACGGAAGAACCATTAAGTTCAAGGCTGTACAGACTTTTGCAGGTACTAAGGGTGTACTTCCTTCTTTAACCCACTGGTGGCAGCAAGGGATTAACCCATCAAAAGCGCACAGTTTATCTCCAATAAAGATAGAGCTGAACCTCTCACCACTAGGAATCCCTACGTAAATTCAGCTTCCAGTGTGGGTAAGTGGGCCAGGACTTTCTGGAATATGAAGTAACAGTGCTGGCTTTAGTGCTCAACCCTCCAGGGTCTGCAGATGTAACTGAGGACTCAGGTCACCCAGTTAGTAGGTGGGAGTACCAGGATCTGAGGGAAGCATTCTGGCTCCACAGTGCCACGATAGCCTGGTCTATGTTAAACGGTCTGCCTCTGTGTGTAGGATATTTACCAATACGGCAGGTTTTCCAGCCAGGCACGTCCTCAGTCGTGAGCACAGAGATGTTAGTCAGCTGCTCCTTCATCCCTCTCCCTCGGTGCATCCTGGATCTCCAGAGACTATATTTTCACATGGATAGAGGGCCCCATGGCCTTTACTTGGAACTAGTCTGGCATTTCTGCTAAAGACAGAGCTAACTCCAATGTTTGTTTGCAGAATAATTCTGAGCTACTTAAGTTCACAAAGCCTTTCAGTGGAAACCCTAGATTTATACAACTCAGACCAGTGCAGAGATGACTTCAGACTGGAAATTTCAGTATCTAGCCTCTGACTTTGACGCTGATGAGCACTGGCTGTTCCACCAAGAATTAGCTTCAAATGATCTAACTGATTTACTAGATGGGGTAGGGGGAGGTTGAATTGTAGATAGTCTTTTAAATACAGTTATAGTCATTTTTTATAGTTGATTCTAAGCAGTAACAAGAAATGGGATAAATTACTTCTTGAGACATCTTGTGAATATAAAATTATATTGGAAAGAAAGACGAAGGGCATAGTGTTCTGAAATGCTGTAGCTGAATGGCATGTGTCTAGTTCGGGAAAATATGTGCTAAGTAAATTCAGCTGTTAGAAAAAGAGGAGGCCTTAGCCTTCAACGTCTTCTACCACTTGGAATTCACATATGATGTGTTGAGATTTCTAGTCACTCTGGTTCTCAGACCAGTACTGAAATTCAGGCTTTGTCAAAACGTGAATAGCTTAGAAGGTCTGCTGAACTCACACAGTTTGGCCCAAGCTTGATTTTTGTCCCAAGTGTCTAATCTTCATGTATTGCTACCTCAGTGAACAGAAATGTGAACCCCAGACACTTGGCATTGTCCTTGTTTCCTCCTTGTCTCGCTCCTACATCCCATCTCCAGATCCTAGTAATCCACTGATATTATTAGGGCTTGAATTGATCCACTCCTCTCTACCACAGCACCACCATAATCCATAGTCTCTCAACCGAATTCCTGAAATAGTCTCCTAATTGGTCCCCCTGCCTCTAATGCTATTCTCTCTCACTCCATTCTCCACACTGCTGCTGCTATGATCTTTCTGAAATGTAAAAGAGATTCCACTGTTGAAAACTCTTTAGCAGCCCCTAAAGTTTTCAGGGCAAATAACAAGCTCTTTAGCCTGTGTACGTGGCCCTCCCGATCTGCTGTGGCTTATGTTCTCATCATCACTCATCATGCCAGCTAATTCATCCAACAGCACGTCCCAGATGCTCTCTTGCTTTTTTCCCACTCCTTTCTGTCTTCATGTGCTTGTAATACCTTTTTCCACACTCCCCGCTGAGAGAGAGAGAGAGATCAGGTGGGAGGAAGAGGGGGAGAAGGAGGGGGAGAGGAGGAAGGGTCAGAGAGAGAAGAAGGGAGGAAAGGAGGGAAGGAGGGAAGGAGGGAGAGAGGTAGAGAGGGAGAGCCAGAGCTGGAACTTGAGATGGGTGTGCATGCACACACATTTTTGGTGTGTACTGAACAAGATCTGGGACATCCACAGAAAATGTTCATGGCAGCCCCTAAGGAATGGGACCTCAGAGGAGGCGTTAAGGGAGTGATATTGCCTGATGTACTTTTCACTTTACTACCGTGTTTGGATTTTTTTATAGTGAATAAGTATACCTCTCTCTCTCTATTTTTAAATTACATTTTCCCATCTTTAGCCCCAGAGACACTGATTCAGTGGGAAAGAGTCCAGGATTCTGCTCTTCCAAAGTTTCCCAGAGACACTGTTAATCAGTCAGTTTGGGGAACTCTGGTTGAAATGATTGTTTTTTGTTGTAATGAGACAATTTACATTTTTATTTTTTAAGAAAAGCTCCAACTATACCTAACAACCATGTTTCTATATTTCCTTTTATTTTGTAGTTGTTTAATTCCACTACAAATACACATTCTTTCTAGTATATTAGATCTGAATTATCTCTAAGAATTATAAACACTTTGGCAGCCATTTTAACAGCCAGCAATACTAGAACAAAAGTCCTAAGTAATCATTTTAAAGTGTGTGTTTGTACACTGTTTCATAAAGCATTTTAAAATTAAGGCAAACAGGAAAATAAACTACAAATACGAATATCAGCGTTTGGTAAATTCTAAATTTTTAACACTAACTTAAACACTGTTAGATTGGCTGTCAAAATTATGAACATTCTCAAATATAGAGTCGTTACAAATATCAGCTTTGGTAGAGTGTATACTGTTTTGCTAAACATTTTCAAGCTTTTGACTTCAGGAAAATATAAAGATGCAAATGTTTTTTATAATTAACTTTGAAAATCTGTATCATGCCCTAAAACTCAGACATCAAAGCATCTATTTCTTTAAACTTGTTGGTTATATTCTCAATACATTCTCCAGCTTTTAATTTTAGTCCATCAATTACAAGATAGTCCTCTTCACAGTAGTTCTCAAATGGGCTGCCTGCAGGAGCTTCAGGGCTGCAGTTAGGTAACTGTAAAAATAACCACACACTTCATCAGAACTACATCAAATTCACTTAAAAATCAGGTTCAGTTGTGTGAACAAAACATAGGGAAGTTAGTAACTCCTCAAGCCACAGCAGTTTTACAAAGTTTCTTGCTCTGCTAGTAGTCAGATAATGATCCCCCTATGTAATATATAGAAAATATGTTTGTATAAGAATAACTTATTATTTACATTCTATCTCTACTCCTTCCCCAACATTACAAGTTTTATTTTTAATGGTATGCTTTGAAAAAACATGATTATTTAAATTCCGTGTCAATTTTCTATATTGGTTTATGTTTTAAATTATTATCATAGGGACTACAGTGTAAAACTGTTTTAGTCACATTTTCTGTGGTCACCTGCTCCTAAGCATTACTTATGAATACTGCTAGTTTGATCTAACTTAATGGGTAAGGACACTGGTAAAAAGCAATATACACACACATACATGAGATTTATAATTTCAAGGTTCATTAAAGGCAGGGTTAACTTCCTATGCAATTCAAGAAAAAAAAGATATATACACAGATTATATAGGTATTTTTATATACCAAAGATGTACATTTTCATATAAATATTATTCAATAAATGCTGTCTTATTTGTATATGGATTATCCAATTCAATTTGTGAATTATTCGGGTAGATTTATAAAAATCTGAAATTAATTCCTCCCATTGCTTGCAAAGTCAGGGCATGTCAGCCAGTGTTAATATTAGCTAAAGAAGAACGTAATTAGGAAGGTGACTCTACTGAGGAAAATAATCTCGCAAAGCATTTCAATGACAAATAGCTATGAGTTCTGATTATCCATGTGTATATGATTCCTTCCATGGTGCTGCTCTCATCCATTGGTGTACATGCTTGACAGTAATCATATTGAAACCTCATAGGTGAAATGAACGATGAAAACATCAAATTTACAGCTTTGAAAATAGCTCAAACAATAACTGCTCAAACAATAAGCATGCTCAGGACTTTCAAATTACCAGGTGGCTCTTTTTGGCTTATAGGAGGCCACTTTTTCCTAAAAACAAAACACATCTCCAGTTTTAAGCAGTGTTACCTTTGGAAGCCATATTAATTCTTTTGACTCCCTCAAAAAAAGAAAGAGAGAAAGAAAAGAAATCCCTGAAGTGATCAATTCTTTACTTTCAAACTGGCAATAACTCCAACTCTGATACCATTTGTTTCATTGCTATTCTCCCCACTGAAAAGTGAACAAGGCCCTAAATATCCCAACCCTGGCATGAAAGCAAGGCTTCTAAAGCTTGATGTGGAGAGTGCTTCAGTCAGCAGGAGGCGCTCACCTGCCTGCCAGCAAGTTAAAATGGTTAATTTTTACAATTCTTCAATGCCTTTTGAAAGCATAAAATAATGCAAGACTCTAAAACCAAAAGCAAGCTCCTGCTATTAAAACTATGTTTTACCCCAAGAAGTAAAAATGAGAAGTGAGTAATTTTCTGTTCTATCAAGTTACTAGTTATAATGGCAAAAAAGAAGCCAATCCTGTGGCTGTAAAAACTCCAGGACATCACTGTAAAAATCAAAAAGGCTGTATTTTTGAAAAGACGATCTGCAAAGGCTGAAAAAAACATTTCACAAAACCATATGGTGTTCAAACAAAACGCACATTTGCTAGAAAAAATAATTTCAGTATTAATCATATATACATAAGATATATGTCGGAGTCCTGGTGGTGCAATGGTTAAGAGCTTAGCTGCTAAACAAAAAAGGTCGGCAGTTCAAATCCACCAGCCGCTCCCTGGAAACCCTATGGGGCAGTTCTACTCTGTCCTGTAGGGTTGCTATAAGTCAGAATCGACTCAGCGGTAACGGGTTTGGTTTTTAAGATAATGTCACCAATCTATAGATCTTGTTCTACAACAGATGAGACCCATATATAGAAAAGAAGTCTTTTGAAAAAGGTACTCTAACTGAAAAATAGGCATTAAAAACCCATGCCAATTCAGGTAAAAGTTGATGTTGCTTGTGTCGACTATGAAAGCTATCACGTCTTTCAACTCAACAGGAGTTTTTAACATTAATTTCATTTTTACATATGTATCTTATCTCAACAGTAAATTCTGTATGTTTTCTTAATTTCTCAGTAAAGGAGGGGTTTAAGATTCAACTTTATTCTTGTTGAAGTTCTGAATGAAATCCTGCAATCCAGCAGCTGTCAAAGTGTCTAAACCACCTTGTCCACTTATGAATCCATCTTCTCTGCATCTGAGAACTGGGAGGCTTGAGGAGGCGCAGTTGCCAAAGTGAGAATGTGGCAAAACAGAGATGAAGTAAAAGACTCTTAGCACTTACTCTCTATCCACTGCATTGCCAGTTCTAGTCTATGATCCTAGCTAACCTTAGGCATCAGTTACTATGCAAAGCACTTCTCCTGTTTTGCCTTATTTAACCCTTAAAACAACCCTCTGAGGCAGGTGATAAGCAACTTCACCAAATTAGACCGGTCCTAAGTGGCAGCAACAAGATTGAGACCCAGGCATTACAATCCAGAGTAAGTGCTCCTAACCAGCATACTCTCTCGCCTCCAGGCACAGGCACGCTGTATCTCCAAATGAATGAACGAAAGAATGAGGGAGCAAGCAAGTGAGTGAGTAGGCGGGTGAGTGATACGAAGGAAAAAAGGGAGGGAGAGTGGGAGGGAGGGAGCAACCTTAATGATACACCACAAGTCCTCGCTTGTGTACTTTTCTTCTTAATTATTTAGGGAGCCGCTCAACTGCCTCATGGTGGTGTCTGCCCTCTGACTTATTTTTCGCACTCACTCCTCATTGACGCTCCGCATTAAGGACCACCTCCCTGGGCCGTGCCCCACAAAGCCTCATTTTACTTGCAGAGACTTGGAGCTGATGTGCTGAGCAATTTGTCAACCAACTTAAAATTTATGTTGTCGTACAAAAGCATTGAACAAAGTAAGCACACATGGCCTTTCTGAGCCCAACATAATTGGCCAAAAAGAAAAAAAAAGACAAATCTAGACATGAATGGCGAAATGATGAAACTCACCCCAACTAAAGACTCCACCTCCAGTATGTGACTAGCGAGCTTTATCCCTAGAGAGGTCATCCTGGTGCAGGAACCATGCCTCCTGCTGTTGTCCTTAGCTGCCATCCATTTTGATTCTGACTCACAGCCACCCCGTGTGCAGAGTACAACTGCTCCATAGAGTTTTCAAGGCTGTGACCTTTTGGAAGAAGGTGGCCAGGCCTGTTAACAACCCTTTAGTGCCTGGCAGTACATACAGTGACTGTGAGCTTTTCCAGCCTCTGGGGTTTATTGGGGAGCTGCTGTACCACTGACAGTATGTGCTGTCAGAAGGCAGGGGCCTTTATGACTGTTTGAAACTGAAGAAATGGGCATGTGCTGCAAACTACTGTTTTTACAGGGTGTTATGTGAGCTGTCTGAATTTTTGTAGGAAAAATAGAAATTGTGAAAATTTTTATTTGTTACATATATGTGTCAATAGACCCTGATGGGGACTCTGGGGTATAATTAGTGGTACTTCAAATGTACCAATAAACACTTAAGGTAGGATTGTGGGTGGGGGCAAGAAAAAAATCCATACTACCTACCAAAAGTTCAGACACCTTCAATGATTCAGCATGCTTCCATTAATGAAAACACATGCTATCAACAAAAAATTCAAAGCAGAAAATAATGGATTAACCAATGGGTTAACCCACCAACCTCCCTCTTAATAGTGGGCACTTAGCCATTTGCACCACCCAGGGACTCCTGTAGGTGGCGTCAAACACTCAACAGGGCATATTTTCCAGCGAACGTGTTATCCACCAGGCGCTCCTTGGAAACCCTATGGGGCAGTTCTACTCTGTCTTTTAGGGTCACTATGAGTCGGAATCGACTCGACGGCATGGTTTTGGTTTGGGGTGCTATCCTGACCCCATCTGATTGTAAAGATTTGCAGCAGGGGACAGGTCTGTCTGTAGTGGCACCTTCTCATTTCAGTGAGCCTCCTCCACCTTTCTTCATTTCAATCCTAAAGATCTGAAATAAAAAGGGCTCTTCTCCTCAAACACAGGTATCGTTTTCAAGACTGATAGATATATTCTGATTTCTCAACAAGCTACTAGTTTAGTATTTACCTGATGGTAATCATGGGCTCAAATTTCAGAAGCGAAAAATGTTTTCCATGCAGTTAAAAAGTACAACCAAGAACAATGCTGCCATTTAAAGCATTTTAAATTGCTATTCAGGCCTGGTAAAAACATCAATAATACCTTTTCTCCTGGATTTCCTTCCTCTCCACGTTCTCCTTCAGACTCCTCAGGTGTTGCTGTGGGCTCCAGTGCTTGCTGGAGCATTTGCTCCAGCTCGTTTAGTAAAATTTCTGTCTCAGAGACAACTAAAGAGACGTCATTAATATAGTCAAAAGGACCGTATCTTAATTAATTCAACCTAATTCATAATTTTAACCACCCAGAAAGAGGATCTCTTCTAAACATTACAAGAT